CTGATTCATAATTGTCGTAATTACGTAAACGTCCAATTCGACTGATAATAGCAAGTGACCAAAGATACTTAAGAATTTGGGCACACGTTCCAATGATAGGTGATGAGGTGACGATTCGAAGTCGGTAATTTTGAAATGTTTCCAGTTCCGCGGAAGGCATGCTTTCGCATTTTCTTGGAATCGATCACAGACCTCAGCTGCGCTTAAAAAATCTTCAATATTTTCCATACGACACAAAATTTCGGAAATACAATGATTGTTAAGGGTATTCAGGACGTGCTTGGGCGAATCTTGGGCTGGCGGTTTCATGGTAATGTCAGTTTCCATGGCTTGAACAATATTTTCGGCAATTAAGTCGTCGTCTAGTTTAATGCTCGTTGTTGCAGTGTCCATATTATTCATTTGAATCACTATTGACGAGACTAATAATAATACAAACAAAATTTCGATTTAAACACTTACTGGCGAATATAAAACATTTAAAATTTACTTTTTTTCACGGAGATTAAATTTCTTCAGTAATTACAGGTTGCAATAAAAAATGTCTGTTTATATGACGAACGGCTGAGTGAATGTGCACACACCTTCTCTGAACGTCTAAGATGTTGAGTCAAGTATTACGGTTGAATTCATAATGAGCAAGTAAATGACAGCGCTGCCTTCAATTTTTCTACTGTTTAAATGAACAGAAGAGTAAGAAAGTGCAAAAAGATCTCTCCCGTTCATTTTTAGTTTTTATAATTTCATTGCTACTAATAAAATGTTTTCTTGTTTGTCGAAAATGCACTCAAGTTCATTTTTTCGGAGAAATTTCTTTATGAAATTGATTGTTTTAGCCAATTTATAAGCAATATTACAGTTTTTTATTCTTTATCAAAGAACGCTTGTCATATGCGTTTAAATCGCTATCAATCTCTCAAAAGTATGATGCCAATATGCTGATCAGTATTTATATGGCGTTCGAGGCGAGAGAAATTTCTCTCTATGTGTCATAAAACAACATGTCTTCATGTCATAAAACAACTACAATGATGGTATTCGCATTACTCTTGCAACTAATGAAGAACTTTGTACTCATTAGCATCCACTTCCATTTGATATTTAGTATCGCATTAAGAGAGCCGTTAAGAGACGAACTGACCGATTCAAATTCCAGACAACTTAAAAGATTTTTTAGCTCACAACTTTGTAATAAGTGGAACACTCCACCCAATGTTCATCAATTATCTTGTGTTCGTCAAAGCAGCAAGTCACCAGCCAAGTTAAGCTCAGCATAAACAGTGCAACAAGTGTTAATTAATAACAGCTATTTTTCTCTTTCGTTAAATTCAACAAAAATTCCTTTTTTATTTTGATAAAATAAATGAAAATATTTACTGTGTCCATAGATTAGAGTGGAAGATAACATATTTCAACAGGAGAGTAAAAAAAAGTAAAAAGGCGTTAATAACATTTTGCATCAATAATTATTTACGATCAAGCAATGTCGTCACAATATCGCAAGTTTTTACAACAATGTATGGAACAATTCCAAGTTTCCTTTGGTGCCTGTATTGTTGGTCCGAATAATGAAATGGAAACACCGCCTGATGAATGTGCTGAAATAAATCAAAATAACGTTGCGGCTGCGGATGGATCAAATTTACGATTGCAACCGGCGATTTGTAGATTGAATTACGATTGTCTACAAGAATTATTTGGTTTGCTATCAATTGAAGACTTGCTTGCTTTTGGTAAAACTTGTAAGTGGCTATGTCATAATGTTGGCCAATGGTTGCACGAAAAACGTCCACGGCTCCGATATTTTTGGCAAGATAATAGTGTTCACGCATCAATGTGGCCCCCAATATGGGATATGGAAATTGATTGTTTTAGCCAATTTATAAGCAATGTTACAGTTTTTTATCCTTTATCAAAGAACGCTTGTTATTTGCGTTCAAATCCTTATCAATCTCTCAAAAGTATTGAATTTGTAAGAGTTAGAATAAATCTAGTTGAAATTGAATATTTGAGAGAAATTTTATGTCAAGTGGAAACAATTAAATTCGATGAATGCAAAATTGATGTTAATCCATTTGAAGCTATATTCAGTGCATGCAAAAAATGGAATATTTGAGTGTGATTGGAAAAATGGGTAAAAAACCATCCAAAATAATTGGAACGAGCAACGATTGGCTTCGTAAAACATACCCTAAACTTGTACACTTTGAATTGGAATACAAATCTTTCAAAGTTCAAAAAATTAAGGAGTTGCCTCAATTTTTTAATTTAAATTCCAATATTCGTTCATTCTCAACGGATGCATATTGTTTTTTAAGAAATTTTGATTATTTATTGGAAACGAAAACCAAATTCGATGTTTTTTCAATCACTATTCCAATTGGTGGGGATTATTTAAGAAAATGTATCCAATTACTAAATCAACTTTATGAAAACAAATTATACGAGCAATTACATTTCAATTATTGAATTGCTATTCAACAAAAGGACGCTGATTTTTTGGTTACGTTGAAGGCTCTGATCAAAGTCAAAATCGAATGGAATGACTTGGAAAGCATCCTTATACCTGATTTAACCAAACTTGAAGAATTATTTATCTCGTGTGCTTTCAATGTTACCAATTGGGTAGAATTGCCAGATCGTTTGGTCAATCTTCATCGGATCGGTTGTGAGGTTGCATCCGTGGATAAAATATTAATGTTTATCCGTCGTTCACCAAAATTGAATAGAATCACAGTTAGTGAATTGTCTGGTGGAATTCACTTCAATAAAGATACTCGAGTACTTGATCTGGTGGCATTGAATAACGAACGAAAGAAACTGAAAGGAGCACGAAAGATTACAATTTATTTGCGTGAAGATATATATTAGAGTGGAACAATTTTGGTATAATTTTATGGCCACTTGGAAAAACATGTCTTAAAGTCCCCAGATTCAAGATATTAAGGAATTTTCAACTTACGGTTCCATATAAGACAGCGACTTGAAAGGAATGGAGGTACATTTTACTGGAAAATCATGAGAAATTGCAGTGACCCAATCACCATGAAAACTTGTGAATCTTATTTTCTGACCAAAATAAGTAATATCACCAAGTTTCATGAAATTTCAACCAAAAATAAAGGTGCCTCCCATACAAAATTTTCGATTTTTTATTTTTGAGAAAAAAAAAAAATTCCTCATATCATTTTTTTCGTGGACCACCTTTGTTCCTTTATTTTCCCAGTTGTTGCTACTTACACATCCGTGGCATCCACTAATAACATATATATTTGTGCTTGGATTTTCATTGATAATGTTCACAATGATTCGCATCTTATAGGACAAGGCTGTAGCATCATTGAAAGTGTAGATGAATTTTTCATCTCCGAAGGTATATTTTACGTATGTGAAATTTATTTCGGCCATTTTAATAACAAATGAACATTCATATATTGACGTAAATGTGGGCTTCGTTATAAATAAATAAATGAATATAGTTGACAGGCACAGCAGAGACTGGCACAAAACAGCAGAGATAGGTAGAGGATTCGAATTCAAGTACTCATCATTCATATCATATGCGGTATGTGCATACGTTGCACTAGCGAATTATAACGAGATCAACGTGAAATACGTCGATTCCACACCAAGCACACCTTAGTGCTTCAAAAGTGACCCGTTTTTGAACTGAAATGTATATCTACAGTCGTGACATCATCGTGAAAACACGTGGATCTTATTTTCTCACCGAAATACCTACATAATCCCAGCAACTTGGAAGCAATTCCGATTCAGAATAGGTGTACCTGTCATACAAATTTTTCGATTTTTTATGGTAGGTATACTCATTTTTCCTTCAATTGTGATGAAACTCTCAGGGACTTATTTTTTATTAAACTATTATTTTTTGATTCAAATGCTGGAGTTTATTTTATTTCTTCGACGATGACGAAAAACGCTGGCACGGACTATTTGTCTTCTTATAGAAGGCTTCTATTTGGCTAATGCATTTGCATTATGATATCTTTTTTGTTTATGTGACACCGACTCTATATTATGAACATGTTCCACAAATGTGAAACAAAAAAATTTAAAACAACACATTGCCAGTTGCCACATCATCGACTTGACATGATCTAAATCGAAACGATTACTCGTTGAGAGAGGCAGACAGTTCACGATATATAGAAATTTCATGTAGCCAATATTACATCCAATTCAATGGCTTTTTGTCATGAACGATCAAGTCGACAATTCAATTGCAATAAACACGCACAATGCATTCTCGCATTCAACGCAACCAATTAAACACCCACATAAATCTTTCCATGATGCGCACACACACATATGAATTCTGTCTACGCACGTTTGTATTCAGAAACAGATTAAGTTCTATAAATTTGATTAGATCTTCGTCTATCAACCCAACTATATTCAATAGCACAGCCTTTTCCAATTTTTGACATTCACGTGCAAGCCATTTCGAGCCATTACATATTTTCACATGTTTTAATTTCAAAATTTTCAATAACTTCAAGCTTATGGGGAGCTGCGCCTAAAAAATCTTCAATATTTTCCATACGATACAAAATTTGGGAAATACAATGATTGTTAAGGGTATTCAGGACGTGCTTGGGCGAAACTTGGGCTGGCGGTTTCATGGTAATGTCAGTATGGCTTGAACAATATTTTCGGCAATTAAGTCGTCGTCTAGTTTATTGCTCGTTGTTGCAGTGTCCATATTATTCATTTGAATCACTATGGATGAGACTAATAATAATACAAACAAAATTTCGATTAAAACACTTACTGGCGAATATAAAACATTTAAAATTTACTATATATACTATAGTCTATTCCACTGCTCAGGGTGTCATCGTGGATTTTCACAAAATATTGAAAAAGAAGCACATGAAAGGGAGTGTAAACGACGTCGATATGAGTGCTATCTTTGCAACAGAGACGAAAATAAGAAGAAGTTTGCTACGGTTGGTTCAAAGAATGCGGTAGAAATTCATATGAGAATACATACTGGAGAAAAACCATATAAATGTGATCAGTGTAAGAAGCGATTTAGCCATAGAAGTAGTCTCAAAATGCATATGAGAACTCATAATTCATCAAAAGGATAGTTTGTTCCACTAACTTGGATTTTCAGAAAATATTGTTAACGAAGCATATGGAAAGGAGTATAAAAGTCTTTTGCTAAAAAACCTCACCATCAGTGTAACTCAAAATAAGAAGAAACTGCTGGCTGTTTAAAGACTGGAGAGGAGTGGAATCAATATAAATGTAAGATGTGCATCTAAGTTGAGTTCGATCAAAGTTTCATCGAAAAGAATTAAAATCCAATAAATTGAAATTTAAAATTCAAATTGTTTTGAATATCGTTGAATTAAACTTAAATGTACATTGCACATTCATTAGGGTGCTTCATTTTTTGCACATTTTGCAGAATTATGTCGGCTTTGCTCATAACCGATGCAAAATGATCATATCTATCCCATAAAGGTGTTTTCAAAATTTTAAAATGATATTTAGGCGTTCCAGGTTAGCTCTGAATGGAGACATGTATGAAATTCTCCTTTTTTCCGTTTTACGCCACTTCACGGATATATTTTTGGAAATTTTTTTCAAATTTTTTTACCTAATCGGATTCTACTCTTAAATACCTTTCCTTCTGTCTTATTTTTTTTGACTCCATGAAAATTTTTGGGAGGGTCCTTTTTGGAACCATGTTCAAAATTTCAGTGTTCTCATATTCATGTCACCAAAATCACTTCGGAGAATACATGGATCTCAAATTTGATGATACCATCTTATTCCACGTGGGGGACCTTTTCATGGAAAAAATCAACATTTCGACATCTTCACATTCATGACACCAAAATCCACTCCACTAATGTTGATTTTCTAAATTTCACTTTCCCATTCGATTCTACTCATAAATACCTTTCCAACGGTGCATCAAACACCATAATTTGTTTTCATTTCATGGTAATTATTCTGGTCGGTTAAAGAAAAAATCCTTAATTTTCACATTTTTACTTGAAATGTGAGATTTTTCGCAATTCGCATTTCTATTATTAGTTTGGCACTATGGCAAAATTTTTGAAAATTAGAGCTGAAATCGTATTGAGACAGATAAGAAATTTCATCATTAAAACATTCTCTGGAGTAGCACTAGACATGCGTTATCATTTTCACTTTGAAAATTTCTTGGAAGGTGTATAAAGGTACATCCAAACAATGTTTACCATGCGTAATCGATAACTTTTAGTTATCGACCATCATATTACGACCATCACTTGTATATTACAATAATGAAGTCCAATGATTTAGTATGTCTTTCTCAAATTTGACTTGTCTCTATTGTTCTTTTTTCGTTATTTTAAATTATATATTGTTTTTTCTCTCGAATTCAATCCTGGCCACAAACCAAACAAAGTAAGGCTTGGTTTACATCTTGTTGATGCTTTCTTCTGTTTAACCGAATAAAAGAATAAGAAAATGCAAAGAAATTTCTCCGTTCATTTTTAGTTTTTATAATTTAGTACCATATAATAAAATGTTTTCTTGCTTCTCAAAAATGCGCTCAACACATTACCTAGTTGCTTGATGTAGATCCAAAGTCGAATAGTTATAATTAGGGACAATGCATAATAAAACTCGTTTCTTAATGCTTTCAAAATGGCTTCTTCTTGTCTTTTTCACATTTTATTTGTTGAAGTAAAATAACTTCAAATCTTCAAAGGAAATTTTCTTCAAATTCAGTCGTGAACACGTCTTCGTTAAGAAAACAACTTGTGAAGTTCAAGCGAATTCAATTTTATACTTTGGTTATCACAATATTCAGTTGTTTTGTGTATTTTGTTAATTTTTTGCAAGTTGCACCTTATATCAAATTGTTTGAGTCTCAAAAACTAAACCGAAATCTTGCCTTTAAATTTTTGTCGAGTATCATATCACTGGAAACTGTTCGAAAATGTCGGCCGATGATTGGATGCAAGAACTGGACAAAATGTTGACGAACATTGAACGCCAGGCGATGTCTTCATTACGAAATATTAATAGCTATTTCGAACAATCAGGTCAATCGTTCCACCAAGCACATCAGAAATATTGTCTAAAGCGTTCAACTGACAGGTAATTTATTCTTGAATTTTGTATTTTATGCCCTTCATTAATGATAATATCTTCTTTTCTTTAGATTAAATGAAGTTTATTCCAAATTTGAATGTGAATCGTCGTTCAGTAATCGTCAAAGTAGAAGTGTCGCTCCAATTTCAACCAACAATAACAACTCAAATGCAATTATTAAAATCAGCAATGATGAAGACTCAGATGAAAGACCTAGCACCAGTTCGAACCCGCCCAGAGAGACTGCTTTTCAAAATGTTGATAGTGAGATTAAAACCGAGGATGATCATGATGAAAGCGATGATCAAGCTTTTGTCGGGGAGATACCCAATGTGGAAATAAAAGAAGAGGATATGGAAAGTGATGAGATTCCAATAGTTCGTGTTCCGGCCAATCAACTGACGCGTGCATATAAGATAGAGTCAAACTGCTCTGATCGTGTCAAAATCGAAAGTGACGAAAATCATAACAAAGAAAACATTGAAAATGGAGCGAAGCGTGTACGATCAAATTCTGCGAATATTTTAGATAAAATTGGTGACAACAACGAGACAAATGTATGTGAACCATACGGGAAGAAATCACGAGTGTCCAAGGGAAGGGTTGATCCGAAAGATGCAAGTCGCGCAATCAGTGATGAAAATAATGAAAATGCGACGAACGCAGTGAACATTTCCGAATCTGTTGTTGAAGTGAATGTAGCTGGAAATGTGATTAGTGGTCAGTCGACACTTGATAAGTGGTTTTCTCAAAAAAATAAATGTAATGGAAACAAAGAGAAATCCAATAGAGGATTCGCTGGTCAAACAAAGAAAAAGAAAATGGATGTTCAGAGATCCCACAAAAAATTAGAAACAAACTCGAATATATCTAGTAATAGGAGAATTCACACTGGAGAAAAACCACATCAATGTGATCAGTGTAAGAAGCAATTTACACGAAAAACTCATCTCACTAGGCATATGAGAACTCATAAGGATAGTCTGTTCCACTGTTCAGGGTGTCATCGTGGATTTTCACAAATTATTGAAAAAGAGTTACATGAAAGGGAGTGTGAACGACGTCGATATGAGTGCTATCTTTGCAACAGGGATGAAAACAAGAAGAAGTTTGTTACTCTTGCAAAGAATGCACTAGAA